TAAAAAGGATGACCTCTTTTTTTTTCTGTTCCACTTGTCTTTATTATATTCCTTTCCTGTGATGTAATCTATATCAATGGGAAAAGACTTCTATTTATTTATCCAAGCTGAATATTTAGGTTGAAGCTGCCTTGCTTGGTGATCCCGACAATGAGGAGTTGAAAAAGTTGAAAGCCGATCTCGAGGAGGTTATAGCCTTGCAGGTTTGCTTTTCATGCCGTTTCTGCAGTAATTGGGTACTGGGCTTTTTATGTGTTTATATTCTATGTTGATTTTTTTCCGTTAGACGGCATGGAATGATAAAATGACCTCTTTCGCTAGATAGCAACCTTTGATAAGAATGTTAGTAGCCATTCGAAAGCTCAAATTCCGGGGAAGTGCTGGGCATGCTCATTTTTAGAAAGATCGCTTTATAGCGCCGTAGCATTCGAATAAGATCATGTTTCACACGCGCTACGCGCTGTTGTTGTTATCACGCTTAAATTTCTTTGGGCGAAACATTTTCCTTGATCTACCAGTGATTATTCGATACCCTGAATCTCGACGAATTCAAAATGTATCTGCTTTCTAGAAGATCTTTTTCACAGCGCTGTTGCAAGAGGAAAAGATTTGTATTCCACCCACGCGTATTTCTCGCTAGACAAAACTGTTTTCTTGATTTATGAGTGACCAGTCGATAGTGCGAGTTTCGACGATCTCAACGCCATTCTTGTTCTCCGAAAAAACCTTTTTATTGCAGTGTAACACTAATAATAAGATTTTATAATTTCAGTTCTATTCAATATTTTTATTGTATTCTGTACTTTCATAAGAAAATGAAAGTTTCACATACACGGCTTTCGGCTTGTGTGTGTGCGTGGTCATGAGTGGATACGCTACCAATCGATCGCGCTGGCCCGACTCACATCTGTAGAGCGATTTCTGTAATCTAATTTGGATATTTTCTCTGCTTCAAAAGAAAACTTTAGATGAAACATATGATCCGGAGACTCGAAGATTTTCTCTGCACGATCATATGCTTTTCGTGCTTCCGTGAATTATACGTATGATGAAAATGAAAGCGCGCTGCGGGTGTGAATCGTAATTTTATTTTGAATGCTATAGCGCTATAAAAAGGTCTTTTCAAGAAACTGCACTTGTAGCAGTGCCTCAGGATTTAGGCTTCAAAATTATCACCAACATATATGTTGATTCTTTGTCCAGCGAGAATTTCTCATTGTACATTCCGTGTAGTCTAACAGAAATGAGCTTGTATATTTTATTTTGCTTTTATCTGCACTGTTTACACAACCATATCATACATATTTACTTGCATCAGGTTTATAGTATTCATTGGCATTCTCATTGGTTTCATTTCTTCAGGAAGAGTTAACTAGTGCTACTGCTTCCGGTTCTGTGAATGATGTTGCTCCAGTCAGTGTTCCGGTAAAGAAATATGAGGTAAAATCTGTAAGCTTGTAGTAGTCCTTTGTTACAATACTGGTGAGTCTTACCAAACGAGAAGACCTTGTTCTCTCATCCGCTGCAATAATCGAAAATATAAATGACCTTTTCTATGTTTACAGAAGATCGAATAGTATCATGAATCAATCAAAATATGACCACTTAGGTGTCATACCGTTTGTTTCGAGTTTTTTCTTAGAACCACGCTCAAATTTCGGCATGCCTGGTAATTGATTTTGACCCATACAGGTGGTCTGTTGTGGGCGTTTATACAATAGAATGCACGTGTTTCGGCTTTGACAGCCTTCTCAGTTGCACAGTGCGTTTCGTCTTGGTCAAATTACTTTTGGGCGGGAGTTGAGTTCCCCCTATGAAGGATTTGGCTAAGACGAAAGGCACTGTGCGACAGGCTAAACTGTCAACGTCGAAACACGTGTAATGCACTGTTTAAATGCCTATAGCAGGCCACATGCATGACTCAAAAATTATCAGTCATACCAGTGAAGTATTTTCATAATCGTTATATTTATACAGTCATGTGCATCTCTTTATCTCTGAGCTTCTCGTACAGATTCCATGATCAGAGGCCTTTGTGTAAGAATGCGCCAAGTTTATCATCGTAATTAAGGTATGATATTGACTGTCATCTCCTTTCCATTGTTGGTGCTGTTCTAATCTGTACCACTGCAGGTATTAGTAATCTCAATGGAGCCATGCCAGTTCACTTTTATTTTAAACTGAGTGAGCATATAGTGTGGCAGATATTATTCCACTTTATCACATGTTTTTCTATCACCAGTGAAATCTTTTTTTACCAACTTAAGAACTGACTTTCCTCTAGCTTGAACATTACTAATCAATCATATATTCCTTGTTCATTAAGCCAATAGCACGAAGTTGGCGGTAATAAAATTATTTTTATAACGTTTTGACGCGTTCTGTACAACCGTCCATTTTATATAAGCGTTTTGTATGTAAGGGCATCCCCGAGTGAGGTTCTTCATTTGAGCGGTGCCCACCAAAGCAATCGATTTGATGGACAGCGGAGAGGATCAATGACAGCGATGACGAACGACCGTGAATAATCGAATCATGAATTTGAAGAAGACGAAACGTTAACCGAGGAAATTGATCTTCAACAGCTTCGTGTTAATAGCTGAGTCAACAACGAATATATGGTTCAAATTTAGTGCTCTTTGTAAGTAGCTTAGTGTTCTCCTACGGTTTTGCTTGCACTTGACTGAGCTTGCGTTTTTTTTTTGCTTAAGGTGGCTTGTCAAGAAAACGAAAATCCCTTCACATCTCAATTCGACGCCTAGAAAAAACCGCTTTCCTGAATTAGCAAATCATCGCGAGCTCCTTTTCCTCGACAATTCTCAGTACCTAATCATGATTAACCAACTTCAAATCACAAGAGTTCAATGGAAGATTGAACGAGGACGCATCAACACTGGCACATGCCTTTTAGAATCTGAACCTGACACAACGAGTTAAGCAGTGCCAATTTGTAAATCGATCAGTTTCCATTTTTCCTAAATCCGTGTTTTTTTCAAGTATTTTTAAAACTTTTTTTTCAAGTAGCGGTTAGTGAACAGTTCATTTTAGTGCAATTGTAAGAAAATTTTTGTAGATTCCCAAAAAGTTCTATATGTTTTCTATAGCCTCTTGATAAAGGAAGCAGTCGAAATGATTCAGTTCCAAACACTCTTGAAATCTTTGAGAAGTTCCAGTTTTTTCTACTCTTATTAGATAATATGTATTTGTTCGTGAATCTTGAGATACAGATCGGCGATCGGGTAATGGCACCGCTTGCCTAATGGAAACCGTGCGGTGGCTGTTGTCGACTCACTTACAGCTGCTGGTGTGGCTGTCATCTTTATAAGTGAGCAGCTTGAAAGTTTTTTCTTCAGAACGGTTCTATGTTCTCACATTTCCTGGTCAATATTCACTACAATGGGAGACCGGTGGCAGAGTGGTAGTGATGCACGATGCGACGTCAGCACGTCCACCCTCTATCAACTGCGCGCAATCAAACAGCGAATCATCGTACCTGCTCATCTTAATGAGATCGACAAGGAGCTGCACCGGATCAGTATCTTTCGATGTTCATGAACAGGGAGAAATCTTGGAGCAAAGCGATGAATGCGAGGCGAATCGAATGTCAGAAGTGCTAGAAATATGTGCAATAGAATGTGTATACGGGTAGTATAAAGTTTTACAATAGTATGTTGCAGATGTTTGAAGAGTATTAGGAGAAAACTTTGGAGAAAGTTTTCTTCTGTGTCCGTTTGTGTTTTCTTCTATACTACCCACTGATTTCAGGTAGCGGTCAGAAAACAATTGTAGATCCATCTGATCTTAGTGATGCTCCAGATGCTGGCAAAAAACATTACGTATTTGACTCAGCGCGAAGTGGAATTTCAAAAAGTGCCGCAAATAAAAAAGAATGGCTGGTGAGTCATGTCTTCGAATTGGCTCCGAAGCCGCGGCCTTTTTCGGGTTGAAGAATATATCTTTCGTGTACTGGTTCGTTTACAGCATCTGTTTATTTAGGCTGAACGAGAGCGACGGCGTTTACGTGCTCAAAAGAAAGAGATGAAACGAAAAGAGCTAGATTTAGCCAAGGAAACTGAAAAGAATAGCTGGATTAAGTTCAATCATAAAGCTGTTAGTAAAGGAATCAAGGTGTGTCATGTTAATGTATTCTGATTGCTCCAAATTCGTCTTCCAGGAAGTTGTGTGATTTCTTATCTTTGCTGGGGTGTTTACATGTCTTCCGCAATTGTATTGCAAATGTTCGTAGAAAGTTCAAAGTTTCAGTTTTTAGGGAATGAAACGAGTAATTGCTACTGGGTCGGCACAGGATGGACCAGCAGGAGTTAAGTTTTTATATCTTTGCCGTGTTTTATCGTGTTAAATCATTGGATTTTTTCATAAGCTGGTTTAACGTAGCAGGCAGAAAATTCAATGATTTTTTCTTAACGTCTAAGACCCAACGCCTAGTTTTCGTCTACACTCGTATAATTTCTTCAACTAAAGTTTTTCAGAAGTTGGAAAATTGTTCGTGCAGCTTTCTAAAATTGTTTCTCTCACTTAAATTCATTATACATTCATGTTTTTCGCAAAAATCGATTACGAAGTGTAATGTTCCGCGATTTTTAACTCTACAGCAACAAGCATTATCGACATGGTGGGAGACTCCACCGTCTTCTGCTAGAGTAAATTTAGTGGAGTAATAAAGATCGCGCACAAATTGATAGCTCTACAATTGAAATCGAAGAATGCACATTGATCAAAATGTTTTGTGGCTCAAAACGTCAGAGTCTCATCCTAACGGGGTGTTAAGTATTTATATTCTCGGCAAATATCTATAGAAACTATTTATTTTCGTAAAGGGGCACTGCAACACACACTTTATCGTTGCTCTTTGTGTTACGCATTTGACAAGCCGAGCCTTCTATATGTCTGATGTTGATAAATTGATAGTTGATATGTCACGTAAGATCACGACGTTGAGTTGATAAACCCAATAATATAGAGTGATGTGCAGGACCATTTGCGTCAGCTGGGATCCGAACCCGGATCTCACTCTTTCCGGGACAGCGGTGCTGTACCGTTGCATCACCGACGCTTCGGTATGGACGCTGACGCAAATGTTTTTGACACACCACTCTACGTTATTGGGTTTATCATAATACTATACCACCGCTATAGGCTGTCAAACAAAAATGAATTCTGATGATTTGATACCTAGGTCGATCGCAAATAGTCGTTATATAGGCCTTAGTAATCCCAAAGCTATCGGGCAATTACCATAAATCGAGGGGCAATCTCTGTTCAACAAAAAATGCGCGAAACGCACATGTGAAAAAATCTTTCTTAACGCTGCTAGTGTACGCTGAAAAGGTATCAGTGCGTTGTTCGTAAAGGGTTGTAAAGGATAACCGAGAACGGAAAGTACCTGTCTATATTATACCGTTGATGCATAGTTCATTTAGAATTTTGAAATTCGAGGTTCAATTTTCGATTCACTCCGCAGCTGATTAGAATTCTTAATGAATACTTTGTAAAAATTATGAATACTCCTTGGAACAATGCAATAGATTCTTTTCTTTAAGTCTTTGAAGTTCCGTTTTCTTCAACTACTTTACTTATCGAGAAGTTATCAACAGTCATCCAAAAAAGTATCACGACCATAAAGTATAGGACATAACAAAAGGAAATAATTTGGGTAATGTGGAAATGCAAACTAACTTAGTATCGAGCACATTACGTTTCCATGTATGGTTTTAAACCAGTTTGGATAGTTTCTTATGCGTTAATATTTCTGCGTAAAATATTTGAATTGTTTGTTCATCACTTTGTATATATATATATATATATATATATATATATATATATATACATATATTTGTATATATATATATATCATTAAATCATTTATATTTATATATACGTACATATATATGTATATATGTACATATATATACACGTATATATATAATAAATACTATATATATATACATATATATATATATATATATATATATATATATAAAGTATATCTTGTTTTTGTTGGAAGCGTACTGCCTCAATTTTTTAGGCATAAAATCTCAAACGTTGGTGTCCTCAAGAGCAAATCAGTTCGCGTTCAAATCGGCAAGAGGTTCCATGGATTCCCTTTTTTAATACGTTCTGGATTGTGCTATGGCTTGTTTCTGTTTATTTACCTCGTAAACGCTCATTTCCACTGTTCTTTGAGGAGATTGTCACACGTAGCCGGAATCTTCGGTTTTTCTTGAGCCTACAGTCATCTTATTTGTAAGGATAAGTGTTTCAATGAAATCGTTGATGAAGCATCGCTATTTGGTAGATCACTTTGGCGTGGTTAAGTAATAAATTTATTGAGAGTTTGTATTTTTGAAATGGCAATGATTACTGGAGGTGGTTTTTTCAGACAATCAATCGTCGGAAGTGTAAACACCGTAATTGCTCACTGAGGAGTTTTGAATTGTTAGCATTGATCTTACAATGCTCTACTGCTGCCTTTGCATGCTATCCATGGCATTTTTTTGCTTAGAAGGCCAAGATCTAATGGGTATTGCGCTGTAAGTGATCCACACCCATAGATTAGTCTGATCTGTGACAGAGGCTGGTAGAAGCATTGCCATCAGTTTTTAACGACTAACAAAAGCCCAGGTGATGCAGATGATTCGCTACAACGCGCTTACTGACCATTATCAGACCATGACTATTATATCTAGTGAATCCATTCCACCATCTAACGATAAATTTTCATCAGTTGCTTGACATCATCATAAAATCTGTGTTCAACAGATAGCGACTGATCAAGAAAAAGTTTGGTCGGAAGGCTCTGTTCCACGAACTAAACAAGAACAAAAGCTGCGCGTTGAAGCCAACAAATGGCGTTTGTATCGTCCAACGTTGTGCATCACAATCAATTCACATGATCTTCAACAATTAAGATGTTAATTTTATTGAATATAGAACCCTTTCGTGTATCAAGAGAATTATTAGCTGATTTCTTGTCAATAACAAATTCAGCTTTCAAACTATGGAAGCAATTATGTTGTCAGGCGACATCTGATTTATTATTAATACATTAATTACCGTAGTTGATTACGGCAAGTGACACTTCTCGAAAGCAGTCTATTAGAATGGCTACGGTATATGGCTCGCTCCCTCATATTGTCTTATATAACTTTGAAAATTCACCAGATAACTAGCTTTTAGAAGCGAACTACTTCCAATACTTTCAATGTATTTGTAGTTTACATTTTTCCGTTTTCTTCTTCAGTGTAATAAGCTTAGGAATTTATCTCATTACAAGGAAGTGGAATATTCTGTACAAATGCACAGAATGCGATTTACTAGAATCTTCTTTGTCATCAATTTTTCTTCAAATCTCTTCAACTTCTAAGCCTGATTAGAGAATCATCTTACCAACAAGATTTTGTTGTAATCATCGATTTGATTAGGAGGTTCAAGAGGCCTGCTGGAAAGAATTCTACCTGCTAAGCACCTTTACTGATGAGAGATATCTCTGTGAAGAGCTTTGAGGGGAACGTTGCTCATGTTGCTTCCAGAAAATCAGCACTCAACCGTGCTAAAGTAGGGAAGTCCATGAAAAGAGACTTGCTTCATTGACAACTATCTTCCGGCTTTAATGGTCTCTGTTTCGAGAAGTAAAGTTCACTATGAACTTAGTCAAACACTTGATAGCTAGTAGCTTACTCATGATCAACTGTGATTCATATATAGTTTATATCACCGCAAATGTGTTTATGGTGTGATTTTGCTGGTCAAAGTAACTGCTACTTATGAGTTTAGTATCTAAGGAACGCTCTCATGATCGACAACTCGTTCAGATTGAAGGAACAGTTTCCCGCTCGTCACCAAACCAATGAGCAATATGGTACGTATTCTCCATTGTTACCAAGATTATACAAGGCGAGGTGAGGCGAAAACTTCTAAAAATAACCAGTTACGGTCGGTTTTTATCAAAAATGCCCAGCATTTGCTGTGCGTCAGCAAGTCGCGTGGGTTTACATGGTAAATTCACAAATCACTAAATATATGAAGGAGGTGTACGTGTTCGATACCACTACACTTGTCAGTGTTGAATAGCCCACCGATCAAATATCAAAAAGAAAAAGCAGCATGATATTTTTACACGTAAAGTAGATGGTTGTGGAGTAGATGGGTGAAAATCAACTCGTATCCGTCGAATTGCTTCCCAACATGAGTTTAAATCCATTCATCGCAATAGCATCGTAATAATGGCGTACTTTACACCAAAGCATATAGTATGGATGAGATACGGGTTCGATTCTCGTTTGAGGTCATATTTTGCTCACCACTTAATTCTCTTAGGTAGATATAGTTGTCAAGCACAACTAAGAAGAATTTTCAATGTATTGAATTCAGATTGTCAAGAATGGGAAGACAACGATGAGACAATCTCTGACGTAGCCAACGACGCCGAGCGACGCTCCCTGCATAAAACTTGGCATAAGCAACCAATGCTGGTGGCGAAACGAAATGCAAGAGAACGCACACGAGTTCGTACCGTAAATCAGGTATTAACATGTTCTTATAGAGGAACCATATCACGAAAACATTACGATACCTGCTGTAAACTCATAATAAATATTTAAAAAATTTTCTGGTTCCGTTGACGCACTTATAGGGTTTTTCGGATGGCCCGTCTTCACGAGTAGAGCGGGTCGTAGCGTGGGATCCATTCGTTTCTTTCTCGCGCAACTATCGTCTTCGTTGGTGGTTTGCCCTTGCCATAGTGAAATTGTGCGGTTGTGAACAATTGAAAACTTCTAGCTGTAAAATCAAATGGTTGATGCTAGATATAATGTCGTTTTCGCTAATGCCATTTACAAAATAAGTCTTTTTCAAGAAAAAAAAATCCTCTTTTCTCCGATACTTTCCCTCTTCGGCGTGTTTTTATGTGTTAAACTTTGATGTTAGTGGAAGGGATTAAATCCCTGACAGAATCATCAGGCTGAGTATGGCGTGTCCCTTAGGAACTGATTAGGGTGGAGAGCTTTATCCTTTGTCCCTTCATATTCCAAATACCAGCCATGATTACATTTTAACAGTTTATTTACTTTTTTTTTGTCAATATTTTATGACACTTTACAAAAGTGCTATGCTTTTATGACCTAGCTGATATTTTCTATAATTCATTCAGGCATTCGTCATCTTAAAATTCCATTTGCCGTCGTTAAGAACCCATACAAAGCGAGTCTCAAAGCTGAAAATTCTCAACGCGGCCATTTGCTATATCCACTCACTCATCGATTTACTACAGGTCTGAAACAGATTGCATAACACTTTGTTATAACATTAATAATCAAATACAAAAAATCAAACAAGAAAACATAAATAATCAAATAGTCCTAATATTCTACATCCTCATTGGCTTGTTTTCAACTAAGATTAGTACGGGGAAGATCAGGAAGAATTTTTTAAGCAAGGATTAAGTACCCTTGCTTGTAGGTGCTTTAACGTTCATTGAACTTTTAAGAAAAAAGCCTCTAACAGCGACTTCCACAAACTTAAAGGGAAGCAGTGACAGTGAACATTCAAGAAAATTTATATGAACATATACATTTGACATTTAATGTTTGTCATCGCTGCAATGTACTGTGGTCCTTTCACTCTACACGCACTGTAAGTAATTCTGCGTCGATTACTTCATATGTAAAGGGTGTACTCCTCTACAAGGGATTGGTTGAACCGAAAGTCACCGTGCTATTGATGAGGCCAAAAGGCCCGAAACGTACGTTTAGGCTAATCAGGGCCATAGCAGACCTGATAAAAGACCTGAAATATGCTACCACGGTGTACTAAAATCTAAGCGAGGTCTTAAGAAATCCAGTCAAATGTAGAGGTATACAATCTATCATTTGTTCCAAATAATACTTTGATGTAAGAATTGAGAGCATGAGTAATGAATTGTTTGACATTAATATCGATTAATTAATTTCTTTTCTTTCTTAAGAATGTTTTAGCAACAACTAGCGACCTAACTTCTACCTAAGCGAATTGAGTGGTGAGCAAAAATACGACCTCAGACGGGAGTCGAACTCGTGT